TGATGAGTTGACGCACTCGAACAATGATACCAACTCATCACTGTCTCTTGTTACCTTGGCCAGTGGGTCAAGATCATGTTCTGAAAACGCTTTATCAGCAACAGCATAATGCAGAGTGTAATTATGACTAGCAGAGTAGAGATTTGCCTCCACTGGAAGTTGGGGACAAGGTGCAGTTTTGTCCAAATTGTGAGAGGGAAAGGCGCAAAGCTGAAGTAATGCCAAGATCATACGTTTTGGAAGATGAATATGGACGTGCTTACAAGAGAAATAGAAGACAGATAATTTCTGTTCCAAACGATTCTCCCATGACCCCAAGGTCAAGGGCTCCTCCCATAAGTACAAAACCTCGTAACTCTCCTGCAAGGACAAGACAGGCACTTGTATTTGCGAAGCCAGCACCAAGTCCAGTGACACTAGAGAGACAGAAACAATTTCACACAGTCCCATTACAACCAGATCTGCGTGTCAAGTTAAGAGGCTGTAAAAGCTCACCGAATTGTTTTAGGGAGGAGATGTAACATTGAAAGCTGTGGGGATCCCCCTTAGGGGTCCCTGACTGACTGACTTACATCCACAAGCCGAAAATGGGGAACCGCACGTGTTGTGTTTTTGACTTGCTTGGGACATAAACATGTTGGAATATTCTTTACTAGCTGTTCAGTTTTAGCTTTATTTAATGATCTTGTAACACTCTTGGGAAGCAATCAAGTCATTTTTTTGATGCACCACTGTAAGCTCCGTTTTGGGCGCTAATGCTTTCAGCGATGATCTGACAGCTTTTCAGCTTTCACTTTTTTGTAGTTTGGATAATTCACAAATTAAACAAATGTCTTTGGTTCAGGGAGTAAACCTGTTCTGTAAGAGAGAATTACTAGTACACAAAAATTTCTTTCTGTGAAAACCAGTACCACATTTTAATGTTGTCTACATTTTGTTTGCCAGGAAGAGTTAGATAATCAACAACATACATTTTGTATGCTTTCGTTTCCCAAAATTGATTATGGTATTAAAAGGACGAAAACAAACTGCTTAGACTGGTGAAATTCTGGTTGTTGTCTTTCATGTTATTATAACTTACCTGTTATATGTTCAACAAGAATGACAACTAACTATTACATTTGTTAACCGAGTTTGAGCCTTGTTTTCAGAATAGACTAGATCAGGAAATACTTACATAGTTTATTATGATCATCTTGAGTTCCTGTTCCCACACCAAAAATACTTGTCTCATTTTCTCTGTCATATTGTATTTATCAAGCTGGTTAAACAAAACTACTATGTTGAGTTTAACTCGACTGTTTATTCTATACCTTATTATAGGAAATTAATGCTCCATAAAATTAAGGTATTGGAAATTAACGCGACTTAAATTAACGCGAATTTAATGGAAAATGACTTTCAAATATAGAAAATTAACGCGAAAGAGGAGGTAGAATTTCATAATAAAGGAAATTAACGCGATTAAGACAGCTCGTCGTGACAACTGGAAACACATTTAACAAATATTGTAAACCTTCGCCTTAGATTTTGTGAAAGATGAAAAATAAAGGGTAACTGGAAAGAAAAAAGCTTGCCGGTAATGTTTTTAAGGTGTCAAGAACGTCTGGACAGGCTCCAAAATTGAGGTTAAAATACTGGAAATTAAGAGCGCGGAAATTAGCGCTGCACATAAATTAACGTCGCGGAAATTAACGCTCAACAAAATTAACGTGACTTAAATTAATGCGAATTGTAACGATTCGCATTAATTTCATGGAGCGTTAATTTCCTATAATAAGGTAACCTGACTTCTCTTTTCACTGGCCCTCGTAACATTACGACACAGTTAACCCCTTTATTACTCTCGTCACGTGCGAAGCAGGAGGTAGTAATTCTGGCATTTTGCTACAGTTCAGATTGATTGATGATAACCATGAGACCACAACTGGCAGGAGAGCGACAATTCTCGACTACTCCTCAAAGGTACATTTCTTAGGCCTTTTACAGATGACCAACACTTCTTACGATGAGACGGGAGAATTTGTTACATCAGACACAGACGATGAACAACTCATAAATGCCAGCCTGGAAATTGAAGGAAATGAATCTTTTCTCAGCACGGATGCTAATATACTGCAAGTAGACGTCTATGTTAGCTTAGATATCTCAGAAACAGGTCATGGGGCGGATGGAAGTGCAATTAGTATAGAAAATCAAAGAAGATCACATCGCACATGGCCCATTGAAAACATAATCAAGGAAATGTCTTGACAAGTCAACTAAATGAAGATTATATTCCTCTTAAGGAAAAACATCAACCTCAAGTGGAATGACATGCCCGCGCTGAGGAATCTTAGAGAAGAAGTGACAAACTATAGAAAATAAGGGAAATACAACTGAGGTAAATTACACTCTACTCGAGAAATTACCTGAAATGAGGGAAGATGACTTAATTATTTGGAAGGGACATTTGACTAAAATTGGGCTTAGTTCATTAAACGAGTATCAGATGAAAGCCATTCAGAGTGTTCAACATGGTCGAGATACAATACCTGTTACCAGCTACCTGCCCTGTTTGACCGCCAAACATTTGTTGTGGTGATCAGCCCCACATTGTCACCGATAAACTTGCAAATCGAGGGACTGGCAAGACTTCATATAGACACGATTGCATTAGGCAGTGCAGCGGGGCGAAACTCTCAAACATATCACGATAGACTCTTTGCAAATGGTGATAGAAAACTATCACCATCCATCGTATTCACGACTTCAGAACACTTTATCAAGAACGAATGTCACAATTTACAAAAAATGGAGGAATATATCAAACTGAAAGTTTTAGATGAGGTTCTTAAGATGGTGGACAGAAAAGCTGACTTCAGATAAAGTTACAAATACTTCAAGGATATTAAAAAACTTTTTCTGGTATACCTGTGATGACATTGACTGCTACTCTGAATCAATCACAGTTACAGAATTCGTGTGAAAATTACTTAGAAACTACTCTACTCATTAAGGGCTCAATAGATCGAAGCAACATCGAGACCAGCATAAAACCATACGTCCATGAAGAAAAGGGGCAATTCAGGCGGATGCTCCAAATCAAGGTCAAATTCAAACAAGAAATTTGGACGGCCATGGCTACTGATGTGAAAAACAACGGGCAAAGAACATGAAATCTTTTGTTTATATGGATTTCAAGAGTGGTGTCCAGTTGCTGACAAGCTCGCTAAAACAGCAGTTAGGTGAAGAAAACGTAAGACCTTATTTTGGAAGTGGTATGACACAGAGACAAAGAAAAAGACCGACTCTCACTTTCGAGGACAAGAATTTCAAGCATTAGTTGCCGCCGAATCTTATGAGGTGGGAACACACAGCCCGCATGTCAATAACATTTTCAGGGTAGGTTGTATGAGCAACTTGACTGTTGTTGTTCAAGAATTTGGTAGCATGGGAAGAAGTGGGAATAACTCAGATGGCTTTCTGCTCATAAATGAAAAGGATCGACGATCAGCGATTGGCATTTTGGACAAAACAAAAAAGAAGAAAGCAACACTAAAGCACAGTTTGAACAGGCGTGGGGGTGGGTGTACTCGATCTGCTCTAGGAGATGTCTTAGACAAGAGCTTATCACTAATTTTGGCAAAGGAGAGCTGGAGTTACGTTGTCTCAACGAGTGTTGCACAAGCTGTGACATCGAGAACAGCAGAGACTTTAACACCAAAGAAGCATGTGGCCTCCTTCTTCAGGTGATCGTCAACTTGATACCAACCAGAATGGCACAAAAGAAGAACTCAGATTGGGTGGTTATGGGGAAGCAAAAAGGACACTTTTTGACTTCCTGAAGTCCAAGATCCTCTGGAGAGAACCAATACATATTCCAGTGGAATGAAGCAGTTTGGTGTGGTTAGTTCAACCGGGTTTTAGGCAAGAGTACTCCGGCAGGCAATTTACTTTGAGTTTGTGGACATTAAAATCAATATAATAAAATGCCAAAGATTCACTCGAGTCTGGAGACAATATATCGTGTCAGCAAAGGGGATGGAATTCCTTGGTACTCCGTGTGACATATTTGTTTTAGACCCCACCCATGATTTTCTCAATGAGCAGAAGAAACAGACGTCATTACAAAATGTGAAACAATCTGGTACAGCTAGGACATCATCATCTTAAAATAAAAAGTTGCTTAGACCAATACAAGTATCCAGGCTTCCAGGCAAAGGATAGTTTCGGAAGCATATAACCCTGAAGCGTGTAACTTTGTCTCAATGCAAGGGTTTTTAGGGAACCAGTCATGGATCAGAGGTGTGTGGTTAATTGGGTCCTTATAAAGCCAAATGAGTCAGCAAGTGCATTTGAATACACATTAAAAGAGATCTTGTTCTCCACGTTTCACGCAGAAAGGCCTGAAATTTCACAGGACGTTTTCTTAGCAGTGTTAGGGCGACTGATGGGGCAAACACCATTTACAAATGTCATGTCATACGGTTTACTGTAGTTTGCGAAACGAAACGAAAATCTGTAGTTTGCGAAATGAAAATCTGTAGTTTGTGAAATGAGAACCTGTAGTTTGCGAAATGAAAATCTGTAGTTTGCAAAATGAAAATCTGCAGTTTGCAAAATGACAATCTGTAGTTTACGAAATGACAATCTACTTACTCGCTGCGTCTACTCGGGTATCCTAAACAGAAAATTCCCCCAGAAAAAGCCGTTTCGCCCAGAAAATTCAGATAGCGCAGAATGCATGACGTTTTCATTGCCACGTATAAAGTTTAAAGGATCAAACGTATAAAGTTTAACTTAAAGGGACTGTAACACGCTTCTGCGCATGTGCGGCATCTTGATTTCTTTCCAGCTGAAGGTTTTTTAAGTTTACTGTCAGGGAAGAAAATCTCTTTCCATCGTCCTCTTTCAGCTAGCAAACTTTGTCAAAACCTTGTAAAAAGAAAACTTGATGATCTTTGGGCGATTCTAGTGGTGTATATGTGTATATTTTTAAAAATTCATTGAGAAATTGGATGTTGACGCCAGAAGGTCCGTGGGGAGGTGTACGAAGCGGCTCGGGACGGAAGCTGCTTTTGCCTCAAAGCTGGTTGGTATCCAAAGGAAGAGAGAAAAAGACAAAGAAACAGTGGAATGAGGATCACAGACGGATAACTGTGGCGAGAGATGTTTATGAAAGCTGGAGGAAAATTAAGTGTATGTGTGCGTATTCGTCAGACACAGCCTTTGCTCAACATCTTTTGTCCTTGGAGATGTGACGAAGAGCAGGGTAAGTCACTTCAGTTTTATCCATTTAACATAATATCTTTTCTCCCCCCTTAGTTTATACACGTATCATAAACATATATCTCTCCCTCTAGTTTGCTTGGGATTGTGGCTTCCAAAAGTGGAGTGCGTGGCCGTGGAACCAAAGAAGCTCCTTTGAGTGTTCAAAGCCCGCGGAAGCGTCTTGATCTGGGATCGTCTGGCGAAATCCAAGGTAATCTTTGTTCACTTACGGAAAACTCTTCCTTATAAGCTATCTATTTGCTTTCGTTTTGCAGTTGCTTTATGTTTTTTGGCTAGTCTTCGAAGACGTTGACATTCCTTTTTATCCTGGAGTAACATCTACTCCTTCCAAGTGTCGAGACGTGCCAATGCAGAAAACTCCCGTAGTTTTACAGAACAGCAGGTACTTTGATTATATAATTCACCAGTCACTTGTGTATATGTACCCTAATTCTGAGAAACTTGTCTTTGATACCTTACATTAGTTCTTTGCTTATATTACTACTCTGCTAGCCTTATGGGTGAATGGAAGACAAACATGTAGGCTAATCAGTTGCTGATTTTGACAGTCATTTCTGTTTGCAAATTATGTCTGTCACGAATTTTATGATCATTATGATCATCCTGTCACTGCTTGCATCACTTTAACCAGTGAGTTTCCAGACAAGCAAAAGATAATCACTAAATTCATCTTTTTACCATCTAAATATACACCGTGATAGGTGAATTTTGTGTGCTGTAATACTGCAGATACATATACATATACATCACATCAATAGAAAAGATGTTTTGCAACATTTTGTGTTATTTAGATCTTTCAGCTGTTGGTTGTTGCTTCCTTTGAAGCTTTGATGCAGAGGTTGATGTCACTGGCAGTGAAGTAACCACTGTTGGTGATACGAGTTTCATTGTACAGGAAGGAGAGGTCACTATTTTACACAATAAGGATGATCAAGACAGTGATTCATACAGCGACACAAGTAGTGACAGTGATGATCCAACATTGTACGTTGCTGTTTCTTTTGTTTTTTATTTTCAGATGTAATTATTTCTTTGTGGCTCTGTTTATGACTGTCAAAGTTGATGTAAACTCTAGAACTTATTTCATTGTTGTCCCCAGGCTGAAATCTAGATTCGGCACTCTAACAGATTTTGAAGCAAGTCTAGAAAACAAAGACACATAGTTTTCTCAAAGGCTCAGAAAATTATAAAGTGCAACACTTAGTTGTGGTTACTGAAACACGATGACTATTTTTACATGCATGTAAGCTATCTCGCTAGATCTGTAGTGCTTGTCAAAACCTCTGGGGATAGGAATTTGTTTTGTGATGTCTTTTATGAGGCTAGTGAATGTAAAATTAATATTGTTATCGGTAAGATGGACCTTTAATACTTTGATGTAAGTTTATTTTTAGTTATATATGTATTTTCTTTTTCCATCACCCTTAGTGATTTGAACTTTTCATTTTTCTGTTATATACAGGGCTGTCACTAAGATTTCAAGATGCAGGATACATGCTATTAGTAGGCAACGACTTAAACAGCTATGAAGTTCTTTTGGGTTTATTTGTTTGTTAGTTCTGTTGGACATACTCATACACTGTAGCAGTAGTGACAGCCCTATCTAAGTGAACAGTATCAGTGGAATCCACTGAAAATAAAACCTGTACTGTAGTCTTTCATTTATTAAATGAGGTTTGTGGTATTCATTGCAAATATTAGAGTCGTAAATTAAGATATTTTTCTTTTCATTTCTTTAGACACACTGGTGCTTTGGAGTGTGCTAATAGCATGTCTCTTATGTACACATCTAAGAAAGTGTCATTCACGTAAGTCACATTATTTCACTGGAATTTTTTTTTATCTTTGTGCAGCATGGTTTAAGCCAACAGTTAAATGTGCTATTCATAAATGAACGGCAATAAATAACACTATGTCATATTTGACCTGCATTGTTAGAGGTCACATAAAATGTTTACGTTAAAATCCTCCCTTGGGCTGTAAAACTGGTCCATAACAACATTATAATTTTAATTCTTGTTATTCATGTGTCTGAGCACACTGGGTTCATTTACTAGCAAATGAACTGGATTGGACAACTTACTTTCGGACATTCTATTGGTATTTTTTTTAGTGGTCTTATACACCTAAAAAAATTGTGTGAAGTTTTATCATCATCACTATTTCAACTTATTGCAAGGTACAACTGTAGCTTATCTTGCATGTTCCCTGGTATATAGAATTTCTTCATCTGACATATTCCATAACTTCTAGGAAAAACGTTTACAGAGCAAGGAAGAAGCTGACTGCTATAGATTGGAACTACCACAATGATCTGCCAAATGCCACAAATGATGCTGAGACTATTAACACAAGAAAGTATAATCAAAGGACGAAATCTTGGGATGTGGGGACAGTGAAAGTGTCCAAAGACTACGGATACATTTGGATTCTAATGGCAAAGATTTTCAAACTTCGAGTTGATGATGATGATTCAAACGCACGGGAGGTTCCACTAAAGGCTGATGATCCGAGACTCATTGCTCCCACGATTGGAGAAAGTGAACCTCCTCTATCTCATGAGCTCCTTGCAAGAAGGAGGAGTAGATTTTCACAATTTTCACAAACAAGTAGCTGATTAGCGTGGCCAAAACCAAAGCTTCACTAATTCTAGTTTTTAGTATATTTTTTTGAGACAGTGCGAGTCCTAAATTGACACATTTGTGGCAGATGGAGATTATAGCACTAGTCAATGCTTGTTTAAATAATAAAGTCCTGCCACGGTTCATGGCTCTCTTTCCTTGTTTGTAGTGGGTGGGATATAGAATTATTTTCTGTTTTCTTAGCTATTTTCTTGTGATTGATTACCAGCGACAGAAATGCAAGGGTTCACTGTACAATAGTTTCAATGTAGCTTGATTCCCAGGAAATGATTCATGGTTCAAATGTCGCATAGTGCAGCAAGATATGTTTAATATTGTTAATAACCTTGCAATACCACGGTATGTCCTGTGGGTGATGTGATTTTTTTCAATCTGATATAACCATAAAATAGTTATGGTGTACAGTATGGAGGGTGGTGATTTGATTTTTTGTCATAAATCTGTTGATTTTAAATTTACAGTTTCTGTCATTCCACTGTAAAAAAAACATGTACACTAAAATACTCTTGGTTAGAATTTTCGGAGACAGGAAACAAGACTCAACTTTTTGCTTGTGTTTTTCAGATGTCAGTGTAACAATACTAGGGCAACCGTCTCCTTCAAAATCAGAGATACTCATGGTCATGTACAGTCTTTATTTCCATTTCAAAAGAAACTACAATGTTATGTTAAAAATAAAAATTAAAGGTAACAATTCCATTGAGCTGCATGCCATAAAGTCTACTGGATTGCACGATAGAGAAGAGGAATTTTTTGGTATTTGGAATCGTCATGTACCAAAAAGAACACTATTCACAAACAGAAACTGATATAAATAAATAAATCTGATATAATATTATTTGTTCCTAGCATTTATTATTAGTTATTATTATCATTGTTCATGTAAGTTCCCTATCTTCCATCGTGTTCAAAATTAATTCTATACTTTCAGACTATCTTAAATTTGATCAATTTTAAAATCTGACACGAAACAGTAAAATGAGCAGAGCATGTATGACCCCTAATGCTTTACCTGCCCAAATTGACTCATGTACAAGTAAATGGTAGGGTTGTATATAGGAAAAAGGTTTCTTTAATTTCTGCGAGATACCTTTTATCAGAGTGCTTGGTCATTACTTTCAAACAGAGAAAAATTGCATAGGGCCTCCCACTATAAACCTCTTCAAATACAGTCGAACTTCTTTGAATGGCCACCTCTTTACAATGGCCACATTCTTCAGTCCCCAAGGTGGCTGTTGTGGAGAGGTTCGACTGTACATAAATCTGGGCAGTGTTTTAGAACTCCACTTCATGCTGACCAACTTCACCATGAGTGCTAATCAAAACAACTTCTTTTCCACCTAATGACTTGGCTTGAGATGGAATGACCATGAACTAATGTACAATAAGGCTGAATAATAATATCACTGAACTGGAACAGGCTCTATTGGTTGTCCCTGTGGGTAATCATGTTTTTTTTTTTGTTTTACTAGACAAGCTTTTCAGAGACTATTGCTGTAGTTTTTTCTCCGGGGACATTTCATTGCTGTCGGAACCCCATATATATACCCGTCGCAGAAGGGTAGTGTCGGCAAATGCAAAGTACACAACAAGAGGGAACAACTTTCCTCTTCCTTTTTCCAAGGTAACCATGGGTATCTAAAACATAGTTTCTATATGCAGCCTTGCGGAAAGTACGGCCACTACTGTCCTGTCTGTCATTGCGGATATCTGCTGTATTTTTGGCACAAAGCAGTAAACATTCTGCGTCTAAGCAAAGTTTTCGAAAGCGCCTTGTTTGCAAAACACAATTTCTTCGCCCACAGCACTTGTTCTCCATGTCTTGCGGCATTGTACAACAGCAACTACATTTGCACCATTCTGGAACTGGCTCTTGGTCAATAACTTGTGTACTTGATAGTGGCACACTCAGAGGTGAGGCATCATCATCAGCAACATTGGGTTCCTGGTCAGAGTTATTGCTCTCATCTTCTGGTTCCATAAGTAAAAGTGAATCCACATAATCCATGCTTCCTACACTCCTCTGCAATGCTCTGATGGCCAATGTTTTTACCATTTGCTCATCAAGGGTGTTTATGAATTCCTACATGTGAAAGAATAAAACCTATTTCAGTGCCAGCAAAATGGCAAATTATCTGTCAGAACATCATTATAGCCTAAGTCGTTTACTATGTATAGTTTTATTTGGTGGTGAGCAATAACCACTGCTATACATATTTTCACAAACAAAGGAGATACAAACTCTTAGTGTAATGGTATACTGTATCACGCTGTGGACATTTGCCACCATAATGGCAACAATTTCCGATTCAGACCAAGAGCAAAGCTCAGAACTGACGCCAAGAAAAATCTAATCACTTTTTTTACCTTTATTCAAGCATCATTTGCCTGTTTTGGTGACAGATAACACATGACAATTCGCCATGATGACTGGAACTAACGCTAATTACACACTATTACCGCAACCCGTCGATTCTCCAAATTTCCTTCCTCTTCTTCGCTTATCAGCTGTTGTTGATTCTCCTGATGCTCATTGGAGGCACCTGTTTGTTGATTCCCGCTTTCAGGCTGGGAAAAAAAATTTCCCAAAGAATTACTGACGGTAAAACCTTACTGACAGTGTGCGTGAAGCTAGGCTTGTGTGAAATCGCAGCAAAATCTCAACTTGTTTTTACACGGCTTTCTCCTTGTTCCGCACTTACAAGCCGCAGTGCACAATTTCCCAGCTGTTCTGCAAGGACATCCTTGGCGTACCCTTCCAGTTTTTGTCAAGCAGGTACTAGAACAACTGCAGGAGACTCTTGACTATGCATATTCCAAAGAAACAAGAACGCACTACCGTTAAATACACCATCGCCAAATACACATAGTACTTCAAATATCACCTCTTCACAGCGAACCAGGAAAATCTATTTTTTTCTTTTAGCTGTACCTGTTCATCCTCCGCAATATTATTTGCCATTGTTGCAAATTTGCCCAAGAATGCAAAAAGTCCACTTCCGGTGGAAAGTACACAATCCGATATTCCATTCTTGAAATGCATATTGAACTATTTATAAGGATAAAGGTGCAAATGTAAGTTCCACTGAGAAATAAGTCAGCTTCTGGGACTGATTGCTTCTTGGCCCCGGGTGATCGCCTGCCTGGTTAAAAAATAATGCAAACGTATGCAAACGTATGCAAACGTATGCAAAGGTCATTGCCAGGATAATCTCCCGCCAGAATTTAATTTTGGCCGGGAAAGTACATACCACTTGCCTATAGTGTATACGTTGGTCCTGGTAGATCATGTCAGTTTTTCGACGTTTCCAGCTTCCACAACTCTTGAGAAAACGGAAATCTGATGAGAAAAGTATTGTTAACATACCGCGCTTTGATTGTAATGCACTGGCAGTGAAAGAGTGGCTTGGACAAGGTTCTTTTGGAGATGTTTACACTGTGGATTACGAAGCTCCAGGAAAGGTTATTGAAACTGTGGTTGTGAAGAAAGTGTTGCCGGCTCTGGACCAAGAGGAGAAGAAACTTTTCTACAAAGAAGTAGCTCTTCTTAACGGACTGAATCATCCCATTATAGTGAAAATGAAAGGTGTGTGCCAAAATCCGCTCGCGATTATGCTCGAATATTGTTATTTTGATTTTAAGCTGTTTGATGAAGATTTTCATTTCGCAAACTACAGATTCTCATTTCACAAAATACAGATAAGACAGAATTGAATGAAAATTCTAAATTTAACACTTCTGAACCAAAAGGAACTACTGAAAAAGTTCACGGAAAAGAAAAACAAAAAGAAAATGTGTGATCAGAATGCATTGCTCAAGATAGAGTGTGTCCACTTAGTGGCAATTCAACTCTAAGTAATAAATTCAAAGTTCTTCATGATAAAGAGAAACTGGACAATTGCAATGGTTATTTTGAGGTTAAAGAAAAAGAGGAAAATGTTGCCTCTGGGAATGTGACACATGATTTTGATTTAGGCTCTGATAAAACTACCGTATTTCTTCACCTATAAGCCGATCTCGGCTATAAGCCGAGACCCTGACTTTCAGGGTCTTTACGCTAGACTCAAGCTGCCCAAAAAAAAAGGTAAAACCATCGGCTATAAGCTGAGAGCAAAATTATTGATTGTAACTGGCCATTTGAGCAAGCGAACCTCACGGAAAACATAAGAAATTGACTCACTAAACACAAAACCTAATGAATTACAATAAACACAAAAGAAAAAAAGCGAACCAATCAAGAGAGATGAATATCAATTGATCCAACGAACTGTATAAATACTACCACGCGACAACAGATTAACCACAACAACAATAATAATCTCAGTTAAACGTTTCAAAGTATCAATCGATCGAGTATCCCTTTCGTCGCTGTTACTTTTTATCATCATGCCTAAAGCACGCCGTTCCTCCTATAGTATGGCTTTCAAGATAAAAGTTATCGCGGAAGCTGAAGCGGTAGAAAACAACTCGGAAATCGCTCGAGAATATGGACTAAGCGAGTCCATGGTACGACGCTGGAGAAGAGACCAGGCGACCATTCTTTCCGGAGAGCTGAAGATGTCTGCAAAACGTGCGACGATGGGCCGTTTCACTCCGAAATATCCCGAACTAGACCAGCAAGTGATGGAGTGGTTTTCACAGCAAAGAGAACAAGGTTGGTATTTACTTTTTTGTCTGAAATTTTAAGAGTTTTTGAAGAGTTGAATGATATCGTCTTTCAGTGTGTGGGAAACAGAGACTTTGATTGGTCAGAAATATGTTGTTGTCATGACAATTTCATAACATGTCACGAAAAGAATGCTGCAGTCACGAATCTACGGTTATCTCGCAGCAAAATAAGATTGTTATTTTATTTTTCGTAGGTATTGCTGTGAGTGGATTGATGCTTCGCCTTAAAGCTAAAGAGCTCTCCGATGATCCTGCTTTCAAAGCTTCCCGTGGATGGTACGAGAAATGGAAACGGCGCCACTCGGTCAGCATGCGAACCAAAACAACTCTGGCCCAGCGATTGCCCGCCGATCTCGAAGAGAACATTGTGCGGTTTCATCGCTTCGTCATTGCAGCAAGAAGACGCGCCGACTACCCTTTATCCCGCATCTACAACATGGATGAGACACCCATGCGTTTTGAGCTGCCATCGAACCGAACACTGGAATTCAGTGGAAGCCGAACAGTGCCAGTAAAATTGTGCGGAGCGGAAAAGCGGAGCTTCACCGTCGTTCTTGCTGTTGCTGCCGATGGAGCAAAGGTGCCACCGAAAGTCATCTTCAAAGGCGTCCGTACACCGAGAGATCTGGTTGTGCCGCATCCTCTTCGTGTTTCCTTCCATAAGAAAGGGTGGATGGATGAACAGGGCATCCGAGAATGGATTCGACAGAGTTTGCCCCGTGCCGAGCGTTCCCTTTTGGTGTGGGACTCATTCCGAGCTCACTTGACCGATTCCGTGAAAGATGACCTGAAGCAGCGAAACATTGACGTCGCAGTTATCCCTGGTGGCCTAACCCCGGTTGTACAGCCCTTGGATAAGTGCCTAAACAAGCCATTTAAAGATAATGTGCGCCGAAAGTACTTGGCGTGGATGACATCTGGGCCATTTGAGTTTACCCCAGCTGGGAAGAAGAAGGCGCCAAGCAGAAATCTTGTCCTCAGGTGGATCAAGGAAGCATGGGCAGAGATACCGCAAGAGATGGTTGTCAAATCCTTCAAGACCTGCGGTATTTCCAATGCCTTGGACGGAACAGAGGACGACGTGGTCTACTCTGAGGAAACCCCAGAAGTAGACGATGAAGACATAGAAGAGAACGAGTTCGAGACAGACAGCAAAAACGAAACGGATGGCGAGTAAACCATTGGGTTGAAAGCCCTTGCACGTATCCGTCAAACGGCTCCTTTAGGAGCCACCAATTTCATAAAAGTGAATAACCAATATTCAGAAGTTATTTTTGTTGTGTTTTATTACTTCTGCTTCATTGCTAACTTGACTACAAGCCGGGAGGGTAAAGTTATTCAGCAACTGTATATTTCTAAAATGTAAAACCCTCGGCTATAAGCCGAACCCCGTTCTCCGTGAAAAATCTCCCAAAATTTTGGGTCGAAAACTGAAAAAATCGCTCGGCTTATAGGTGAAGAAATACGGTATGTTCAAGGGGTTTGAGAGTTTTGACAGTGAGAGTAACTATAGTGAGTCACAGGAAATGGTCGCATTAATAGTTGATAGTGATGACAATGACTCGGTATCTTGGGACGGACATGGAAGTGACAAGATGTCACTTTCCAAGGATGGTACTGATCTTGCCAATGGTGAGGTAGAAGAAACTAGAGGACGTGATGAGGTTGTTGCACCAGAAAGTAAAAAGGTCACGGTGACAGGTTGGGAGAATGTCGCTGATGATAGAAAAATTATGCACAAAATTGAAAGGTAAACACATCCGAAATACTCCCACTGTTAATTGTGGCTTTAGAAAATCTGAGGTGGAATCTGAGATAGATATGAGATAGATAGTTTATTAAAATAAATAAATACATGGGAAGCCAGAGGCTGAATTGCATATTTACAAGTAAAACTAAGCTAAATATAGATTAATTTACAATATGTCGATATTAAAAATTCATGCATATAATATATAAAAGCATTAAAACCGAATCATTTAATTGTACTTTAAGCACAACAACAAAACAAAAGTGTTCTCAAAACGGTCCGCCTTCCACGTGAATATGGAGCCTTATTGGCTTCAGTTAATAACTTGTTAAGTTTGTTATCCTTGTTGCCGAGGGCAGCATTAAAAACCTTGTCACATGTGTCCTAGCAATATGAAATAATGGAGTACCAGCTTCCTTAAGTGCCTTATCATAAGACAGACTGGGCAAATGATTGCCAATGTCCTTTTTTGGACCCATTCCAGCTCACATTGTAAATACTTGGGCAGAGCATAGAAGAGTACAGACGCTGCATAAGAAAGGATTGATCTTGTATGTGACATAAATGAAGACTAAATCCCTATACGGAGGCCTTGCCCGTTTAAGCCAAACTGGGAAATACAATACTTTAGACGCCTTCTTTACAGTTCCGTTAACATGCTCATTCGATGATAAATCGCTTGTATTTGACTTGCCTTGTGCCACGACTGCTCCCAAAAAGTTAAAACGACTAAATTAGAGCCTGGTCTCAACTTTTAAGCCATTCAAAGGGCTGCTATAGAATTTCAAGGTTTTCCTGCTATAGAGTACGGTGATGAAGCAAGGGCTTTGTGATTTATTGAAACCAGCCTTAATAAAAGTGGGAGGTTAGAATTGGTGGGAAAATGTTGGAATTCGGATGTTGACACAGGGAAAAACCAAATTTTAAATTTCCCAGAAATGGATCCAGCAAAGGGAGATGTGGACAAGTTTTCAGCCCTTAAGAGGCTCGTGGACGAGCTTATCAAGTTTGATTCCCTTGCTAAAAGTGTTTCTGTTCACAACTTTACTTGCCCTTTGTTCTACTGATAAACCTGACATTGCACACACATAATCTCGTCAAGCAGGAAATGTATACCACGCATGGCCTTAGCCAGCTGCAAAATTGGATGCCTCATCTTTCTTTGAATATATGCTTGGTGTTCGCCAATAACATAATGTAGCATTACGTCACAGAGCACTTTTTGTTTCCAGGAAACATAGATTTTGTCGTTAATGACCAGGGCACATTTTTCTTTGTCCTTAAAAAAATGTTTACAATCACTGAATCATGAGCGATTTCCCATGCAAATGACACAGAACATCAATCAAAACAAGTGGCTGGAAATCCTCACCTGCGAAGATTCTCCACCAAAACTCCTCTACGACAACAAGAAACCGTGACGCAGAGAGAACATCGCTTAATAGCGCAGCGAAGGAAACACTGTCAACACAGCGATCACAAACATGTACAGAGGCAGTGAAAAAATACTACAATGAATATTACTCTCATTAATATGAATCAAGACTCTAATAACGGAGAGGTCTGGGTTGGGGGCTGGCAGTTGTACATTGTATAGGAGTCGTCCTGTTTCAAAATTAAGCAATATATTGTATGAATCATAAGACCATAATAAAACCAATTTTAATACACCATGCTAGCTTGTAGTCTTGATCTATTGCTTAATTTTTAATATAATCGGACAAAGGCTTAGAATTTTAGTGCACTCCCAGCAAGCAGGCAAGAATTAATTAGCTTCCCTAGAATATGGTATTTGAATTTCAAGTTTCAAAAAAGGCGAGTGAATCACGCTTATTTTTACGATACTCGTCTCCCATTCGGGGACAAAAGCTCACCGGGAATATTCCATTGTGTAATGCAGGCCGTTCGGTACATGATGGCCAAACCAGGCTTTCAGAACGTTATTGGGTATGTTGATGATTTTCTTGCTATTGGTGCCACACGAGCGGAGTGTACACGAGCATATAAGGTGCTGTTACAATTATTGCAGGACCTGGGTTTTACCATCAGTAAGGGCAAACTAGTACTGCCGACGCAAAGCTCACCTTCCTAGGCATTGAACTTGTACTATAATGCTTCCACAGGACAAGCTTCACGACTGTCAACCAAAAATCAATTGCACTGACTAGCCGGTAAACTCAATTGGACCTGCAGAGCCGTTTATGGCGGGCAAACTTTTCTCTGCCAAGTTAAACACACCATGAATTCTCTTTCTCTAGGTGCCAAGCATTGCTTAACACCCTCATTTTATGGTGACATTGCTTGGTGGGTGAATTTTCTTTGTGTTTTTAACGGCAAGCGCTTCTTAGATGATCGACCAACAGGGGATGTTATGACAGATGCTTGCACTCTCATGGCAGAAGGGTAATTTCGGGGCGATTGGTTTTATTTCAATTTCTCAACTGACAAACCCGAAATAGTCTGCGCTACATATTAACCTTACGGAGTGCCCGGCTATTGTACTCGCTGCTCAGCACTGGGGACATTTATGGCCACTACTGGCCACACGAATATTATGCAAGAGCTACGAGCACTTTTCTGGCTGTCTGCGGTCCATAATTTTCAAATTACTGCAATTTAGCTTGAAGGTTATTGTAACACTACTGCAAATGCTATTTCAAGGCTACAAGAGTGCGATCACCTCTTTTCCTTTTACTCTTTTCTGCACAAGAACATTGGATGCACTGCAGCGGACAATACAGCCTTGACAGATCACGTCTTTTTGCAGTTGCTCTTCTGTGTTTTCTACCTGCATGCCACCCTTTTTTGGCATCACAGTTGCAACAGGAAATTTATAAATATTGCTCTCAGTTCTACGCCGAATCCACAAAAGCAACCTACAAAATGCACCGCAACTCCAATTTGTGTTTAGTCTACTTGGGATATCGACCTGTTCCTGTTCTGCTGAATCATCTCATGCAGTATGATGCTTTTCTGGCATTATACGTCTAGACGAACTTACATTTGAAATGCTTCTTAAACAATGCACTTTGAAAGGTAGTTTGTCTGGACCCATAATGCATCTGTGTGTGTAAAGACAGGCAACTGAAAATAACGTTAAAAAATGAGACCGTGACGAAGAGCAGACAGAAATAAGTCACAGCAGTTATCAGGAAGAAGATGGTGAGGAAGATTTAACCTCTACAAGTGAGAGTTGAACTGAAGGTGTTAAAAGGACAATTTTGAACAATTCACTGGAAGTAAAACCATCAGGTCGTAAAAAACAAGTATTTGGAGAATCACAGCAAACGCGTTGAGAAAAGATGATGGACGCACAAAAAGAAAGGTATGCTCAATTTCTCGCTTTTCAGAACGAGAAAGCCGAATTGAATAGGCTGCATGAGCTAAAGATGCTTGAAATCTTCATGAAATATTCAAATCCTCCACCCCAAGGAGCACAGCAGCATCTTTGACAACAAACAATGCCTGCCCAGTATTACAACCCAATACCTTATAGCCATACACCTCAAACTAATCAAGTGGCAAGTGGTAGCCAAGATAGCCACGTTTTAGATATGGATAGCCAGAAAGATAAAAGACCCATGCATTGGTATTAGGTAGAGTTACGATTAAGGGCGGGGGACTTACGCTGGTGGTGGATTTCTTTCAACACGGTCCTCTATCACAATTAATTTTATTGAGCAGTACTGTAAATTTAAGGGGGCATGAGCTTCCCTCTTGTGTTTTGAAACCTCAGACATGTTATTACAGGCAGTTGTGGTTACTTGTAATCTATTTATTGTCAGTTGTGACAAAGGCACCAAAATGTAACCAGTGATCCAGACACAAACATCGTTTCTGTTCTGTATAATTTAGAAAGTTTTACGTAACTACAACTTTATAACACTTTCATAGAATTGGATGTATTGGTTGGGGATTGGTCATTATTTATGTAAGGGTTTTTTTCCACCAATAAGTTTTATTGTTGACCACCCCTGAAAATGTTTCATTTACTTTTTGACTCACCCCTTAAATGTAATTTTTAGGCTATGACACTCCCCTCCCTATATGCCCTCTATAAGGATGAGGTAAACAAGAAGTTCTTACAACAACTAAACAATAAAACAGCAGCACGAATACTTGTTATTCTTTGAAACCAAGGCTGTTTTGCTTTGTACTCTCATGAGTTGGTTGGAAATACCATTGAAAAGATGTAAAAACGTATATCAAGTAAGCAAAAATACATCTTTTACTGGTATTTCCAGCCAATAATTCATATAATTCATTATGGTTTTTGAGAATGACCATTAAGTATTTCTTTTGTGCTGTTTTTGTTTAGTTGATATAAGAACTTCATGTTTGTTTTTATTGTTGTCAGTCTGTTATTCAACCCCAATGATTTTGCTTGTGACGCAACATAGAGCTTTTTCAAGACTACGCATGGAAAGGGAGCATGCGGTATCGGTGCTGAAGTTACACGAGCTGTGGCGAGCCATCCTCCAAGGGAAGAATGTTATCAACGGCGCTGGAGAGTTCCATGCCACTGCCTAGAGAATCTGTAGAAAGGTCAATGTCCTGCATGTTCTGGAAAAGAAAGTTAGGGAGGTAGGACAGACACTCCAAGAAAGATGGGAAAGACCCAAGGTCATCCCACACACCAATGCTCTCCATTATGCAGAAAGAGCAAGTGATACGCACATCAAGGTGGCTAAGAATTCCCCATTTCAAGCACCATCTCCGTTCGAATTCGAAGCGTATCGCTTACTTTAATGCCCTATTGCAACTGCTGTATCAAGTGATGAGGAGGTTCCTGTAAAGTTTGTTGCAGACCACTCTATTCTTTACATCTCCATGCCCCAGTCAAAATGTAGTCGTATTATTTAATAAAAGTATGGACTGACTAAGGAACTAACTGCACTTTTGAGCAACGTCATTCTGCAGATCTCCTTGTTGAGAAAGCTGCACTTGTTTCAGCAATAGTTGATGGGTCAGTTAGCTCCCAGGGGCATGGAATTATATCTTAAAGTGACATATCTCTGCTCGGTGGACACGCCAAACCTAAAGATAATTACATCGTCAACTTCATCATTGATTGCTATCTCACACTGCTTCAACGGGTGGATGGTGTGAAGTTAGACGTAATTACATGGGAAGAGTTTGAGACTGTGCGGCCACTGAATGCTACTTCGAATCTCGAAAGGATCTTCTAGAGTAAGATCTTATTCTCATTCCTTGCAATCTATCGATGACTGGCACTGGTTTCTCATTGCTGTATTCCCCAATAAATATCTCATGGCTGTTCTAGACAGCGCTGCAAGCGATTTTGTCAAACCCAGTGCTGGAGTTGTCATGAAAAATATGTTTTAAGTATTGAAGATGATTGATGGCGACCCAAACGTAGAGAAGTGAAGTCCTGTGCAAACCGTCAAGAAGACATTCCTCAACAAGACAATAGCTGGGACTGTGGCGCCTTTGTCTGTGCCTTTGCTCGCTGTCTTGTATCCAAAGGGAAGATGATGATACAGAGAAGAATCCCTGACTTCAGAAAGTACATGATCCTAGAGTTGCACAGCAGAGCACTACAGCCACTTCCTTTAACTCTACCCGCGGTGCAAGGAAAGATTCAAGTCACAATTAAGGCACCTTGGATGATGTTGCCTACTCTCCCATTTATAAATTGTATCAATTAATCTAGACTAAATTAGTTATTAATACTTATATATCATCAACATTAGCTTATTTATAACCACAGATTATCAATAAACCCTTATTAAAGCCTCTCTTATATCGGTAGTCCTCTCCTGTAATCTCCTACTATATGATCCACAGTTTAGCCTTAACAAAACATGGTTTTTATACCGAGCCCTTTTGTCTTTTCCACAACGTCTTCTCTGCAACAAGACCAAATCATTGCGAGATTTCGGGTACACTAAGAAGGAATAACCAAGTATTTGTTTTCATTTGACGATTAATTATGAACAGCCCTTTCTTTGTAAGGAAAAAATCATTTTAAAAGATACTCGAATGGATATGTTTTTGTTCAATTGTTTCCTTGGTTTAAAGTTTTCTCCCTTTGTTTTGAGCTCATTATGACCATTGCCGTACTTAATGAACCACAACAGAAATGCGATCTGTGATGAGGCACAAGAACCAAAATTCGGGTTATCGGGGTAAATTTTGATGAAGGCAAACAAAACTTATTTCGAGTTAGTATGAAATTCAAGTAATCCGAGTTCAAGTTTACTGAGTGAAAATGACTGAAAAGTGGTGTCAAAATCAAGGACAGTGGGTCTTAGTTCGAGTTAGTTGCCCCCTCTTTTTGAGCATTTTAGGTATTCTTTCTATGGCCACTCTGTCACTTGCCGAATGATTGAAAGCATTTTGATTCCTTTGTTCGGTAGTTTTTTGTTTGCTACTTTTTATTGAAAAACAGGACATAATTTAAGCCATCTTTTTCAATACTGTAAAACAAAGTTCGTTTCAACGTTTGCAAATTTTTTTCACTACTTCATTTTTCAGGAACCTGCAAAAAACGTGTTCACATCAAAATCTAAGCCTCAGTTACATTCTTAACATGTTTTTAAAATGTAGTTAATTTCAGCCTCAAAATTTTTATTAAAAAAGATTCTTATAGAATTATGACTGTACTTACATTAATTTGATCTACTTCTTTTTTTCTCCTCTTAAGCACAATGGAATTTCTTTTGATTTCAATTTTTGCCAATCTATACCAATTCCATTCCTTTGTGCATAGGGAAAGGGAAATCACAGACTTAAAGGGGCAGCTGCATGCAGCCAATCGACCTTGCATATGACGTATGCAATTTACAACCTTCAAGAGAAGGAGCATTGCCAAAAAATGAAGAACCTAACAATGTCTTAAACATAGACCAGCATGAGTACCTTAAATTTCATCACCCCGAAGATGCTTTTGCTAAAAACTTAAGAGGATATGTTTCTACTGTAATGCCGGCATTAAAATGTAGAATGGATATGCGGCGTACAGACAGATGCGGCACGATTTTTAAATACGCCTCTAGTTACGCAACAAAGTGGCACGACGCCTACGATGGCGACGCTATGCATTCTTGACATGTAGGTCCAAGTAACATGCATATATAACTGACTGGTTCCTCATGCCGGATCTCAGAGATGCTGTAGCCAGACATCACTTTCAATGTAAAATAAAATAAAACTGAGTGCCGGACTGGCACTACAGCAAAGGGCTGATTTATTATAAAATTTCGCCCCGAACCACTTATGGGAAAAAAGTACAACAACAGAAAGGGTTTTCTTCCAAAGAGCAATTTCAGATCGCCAAAGCCATTACATATAGTTTTGTTTATGTACAAAAGGAAATGTGTAAACACAGAGGTAAGTTAACTCGTGGTATGGTTTATGAAAAAGTCAAAACAAACCAAGATTTATCTTACAAGACCAAACGTGACCTTAAGGCGAAGCTAGAGTTGTATTACAGGGGACAGGGCCGTTCAGAACTTGACCACTCTCTTATTTCAAACGCCTATTGGAGACTTTAAATAAAGCTAAATTTTAACTTTTATTCATTTATAATTTAAAGGTCTAGAACTGTGAAAACTCGAATTCCTTCACGTGCGAACCACGAAAGAGGGCAAAGTCCAACACTTTCCATTGCCCACTGTGTGACTGTAGACACTACTGTAACACAGCGTTAGAAGCAAAAAAATTCTCTTCTGAATATTGGAAATGGCAACATAGATATTTGATGGATGCAGTGGAACAATTTGGGCCTCCAAGTCTTTTCATAACAATTTCGCCTTTTGAATGGACATTTCCTTCTCCACCTTGGTTGGACAATTTGAGGTCTAAAACTGGCAAAAGTCCGAGAAACATTCCAACGTTAGACACGTGTAAGAACCAAAATCCAGTGGGGTCGGTGGGATTGTAAATCGAAAGAAATGACTGCTGGAATCGTTTGCCATGTTGAATCTCTCAAGCTCAACCACGAGGCAATTGTCTGGAAAATGTTACCGTTTGGCAGGCGTCTGTCACTACACACAACCCAATTGGCTGTGGTGTTTAGCATGAATTTCCCCTCGTATTTAAGGGCGTAAAAATCCCTTGTTTTTCCCTGTGAAAACAGATCGCATTTCCTAAGGTGAGGTGTTTTCACTGTATTTCCGGACTTTTCCAGCTTTATCTAGTTAAAATTGTCCCAGTGAAAAAATCAACCTCAGTATCTTCTTTTTCTGTATTAAATTATTATTTTTTTAATGGTGTGACAGTGAAAACCGAGAAGGGCGTTGTATCTAGAGTCAAACCATATGGCAGAATTTAACACTCACGCCCTGTTCAAGAGTAGAAAATGGGTGCTGGCTAGGCAAGAATTTGGATTATTGCCGCTATTATTATTTTCTTTGACTGTGCGTACTTTTTAGTTGTGTTGGTGCGTAGATGCACGTAGAATTTTTTTTTGTGGTTCTGGGGGAACGAATATTCATATTGGCCAGCTCGCTCTCTACTAGCCTCCCCCGCAGGTGTTTTTAGAGATGTCGGCTATACATAGGGTATCCCACCTTTTAAAGATAATTTTGATTGGCGTCCATCAAACTTTGCCATGTAACCATTATTATTATTGAAACTGTAAAGTTCGTAACTTAAAAATGGAAAAAAGATTGATAGCTTTATTTTGATCACAAAAAAATTCTCACATTTCTGCTATCTGTTTTATTTTTTCGCATTTACCAGTGGATCTTTTTATTGGTCTTTTTTTGTTTGTTTATTTTTGTGTGTTTTGTGGCTGTTTTAGTTATTTCGTTTTTGTTAAGGCGCATTAGTGTCTTACAGTGGCAGCTGGAGGCTACCTCTGGCGCACAAGACCGTGCCCTTTGGGGATGGAAACGTGCGGTAGAGGAGCTCAACCTCGTGGAATGGCTCCTACAACCCTTTTAGGAGCGATTCCAGCAGATTCTGTTTAGGAATGGACACCAGGGTCCGTTTCGGAATTGATACCAGCATCTTCTTCATCCCACGTTACCGCAGCTTCAGTAATCGAATAAATATGGTATTTTCACTTTTTTCTTTATTTTCTCCTATTTCTCTGTGACTTTTGGATTCATGTCATGCTCTAATTTAGTTATTTAATTAATTGTTTTTCTTCCTTTCTCTCTTTCCACTAACTAAATCAATGCTATTTTGTTCATTACCATTCTGACTTTACTTTGCATGTTATATCTTTAAAAAAGAATTCACCTGCCACTTTAAGTCACTACCGTGTCATAAAAAGTATACAAAACCGGAAAGACAGATTTAAAGAATTAAAGAAAAAAAACTCTTTGGAATGGTGGTCTGAGACATTACAAAAAAAAATAAACAAACAAACCATGCGCAAAAAAAAGAAAACCAAGAGGCACACTTATCATGCAGACCTTGCGGAGCCAAGACAAGAAACCTCTTCCCTAATTTTGAGAAAGACAGGATACGATGGAAGCATATCAAAGTCATTTCCACGCATAAGGAAATCAGATATTTGTGACTCTTACATCAGTCCGGGCCACAACCAGATCTGGATATGCAATTTCCTGCAATGTGTTTGGTCCAGACCGCAACCAAAACATTGATTTGACCGCGATTGGACTAAGTTCGACAGAAATGTCGCAGCAAGGACTGCTATGGCTGGGATGTTCCTTGAAGAAAAGTAACAGATGTAATACCAAACCAATTAATTAAGATGATTTTATGCGTCTTAGTATTCGATTTACAAAAATCAAGATGATAATGATCAAGGAAGG